GTGAGGCGATGGTGAATCTCAAAAAGGGAGACTTTGGAAAGGTAAAGTTGGGTAACGGGAAAATCCTTAAAGTGACAGGCATGGGAGATATTGATCTAAAAACTTCATTTGGAACTACTTGGAGCTTACAAAATGTCAGGGTGATTCCAAGACTGAAGACAAAGTTGATCTCAGTCGGACAATTGGATGAACAGGGACTAGACGTCAAGTTTGGTGGTGGAAAATGGAAGGTGATCAAAGGAAATTTGGTTATTGCTCGAGGCTTGAAAAGAGGATCGTTATACATGGTACCAGTGACGTCTGAGGGAGTGACCAACCCGGTAAAGACAGTTAACAAAGTCGGGCTCACTGAATCGGGCAAAGCTAAGAAGGTTCATTTTGCAAACGTGAATCTTGGAGATTTGGGGATGACAGTTGAGTGTGTTCGGAGGTCTGAATCAGGTCAGGGGTTTCGTGATAGTGGGAGCATGGGACGTGTTCCGAGTACAGTTCTGAAACGTCGTTGGGTTTTGAGGACCAAGAATCCAAAAGTTAAAATCTCTCCTGGGAATAGTTTGCTGGATTTAGAGAGTGGTAATGGTCCTCGGTGTATCTCTGGATCCGGTGGATTGTGCAAGCCGGTTGAGACAGAGGCTGTGGCGGTTACAGTCACGACTTGGTTGGAGCTCGGTGGAGCTTCAACTGTCCTTTCAGGTTATTAATGAAGAGGGTGGTTGCAACTAGGGGATATAACTGGAGTTTTAGCTTGTTCTTGGGAACTAGAGGCTTGGAGGACTTGACAGTGAAGATTACTGAGTTACTCATTATGGGTTTACTTGGATGGCATTTTTTGTCTATGCGAAATCCTTCAAGTGGGAGATTGTTGGGTTATTCAGTGAAGGCTTTAGAGCTTTGGGCTTTAAGCCCAGTCGGTTAAAGGGAAGAAATATGGGGGGCCGGTTTTAGTTATTAATTAAAGGGCCCATTAGTTGTTTCTTGTTTAGCAAGTTGTTAACCCTAATTTGTATCTTATAAATACCCAATCATGTAACTATAATCTGTGAGCACCTACAACAACAACAACAACCCAGTTGGATCCCACTACA